CTCTCCCTGTTGGTTTCTCCACTGCATCAACACCACCTGAAAAACAAAGATAGCAGCATTGGGCTGGAGGAGAGATCCTGATTGAAACAAGTTCAGCCAGTAAGGGTGTGTCTAGACTACATGCCTCCGTCGCCGGAGGCATGTAGATTAGCCAGATCGGCAGAGGGAAATGAAGCCGCGATTATTTTAATCGCGGCTTCCTTTCCCTCTGCCGATCTGGCTAATCTACATGCCTCCGTCGACGGAGGCATGTAGATTAGCCAGATCGGCAGAGGGAAATGAAGCCGCGATTATTTTAATCGCGGCTTCCTTTCCCTCTGCCGATCTGGCTAATCTACATGCCTCCGTCGACGGAGGCATGTAGATTAGCCAGATCGGCAGAGGGAAATGAAGCCGCGATTATTTTAATCGCGGCTTCCTTTCCCTCTGCCGATCTGGCTAATCTACATGCCTCCGGCGACGGAGGCATGTAGTCTAGACGTACCCTAAGATTAGTGAAATATGAGAGACCTTTAGATTTAATTTATTTAGTTTGGTCAAATTGGGTATTGGCTATGTTTTGCTTTTATTTTCTTGTAACCAATTCTGAATTTTATGTCTAACTCCCTGTAAGATCATTAAAAATTAATCTTTCCATAGTTAATAAACTCATTTTATTGTTTTATATAAACAGTTATGTTGAGACTGCAGTGTTTGGGAAACTCCATTTAGGACAATAGGATTTGTGCATGTCATTTCTAGTAATAAGACAGATTTTCTAAGCTTGTACTGTACAGGAGAGGACAAAGCAGTACAAGACATACATTTTGTGGGGAAAGTCTGAGAATGGGAATTTGCTAGTATTCCTCTACAGTGTAATTCATGAATGGCTGACCATAGTGCTCATACAATGTAGCTGGGAGACATTTACAAGCTGGTGGCTGGTGTTAGCAGACCAGGACAGGTAGTTTTCATAACAAAGCAGGTTGAAGAACTGAGGGGACACAGCTATTTATCGGTCCAGATTGTATCCTGGGCAATGTCATAACCAGAGCTAGTGGCAAAAGAAAAGTGATATTTTTTAAAATCCTCAATTAATTTTAAATTGTTGGTCTATCAAAAAATATCAAAAGTCAAAAACTGTTGGTCAGCTCCATAGTTTCTCAGAAAGATTGGAGGAGCTTATGGAAATGTCAAATTTCCCTCCCATTTTTGAAAAATATTGACTTTTGAAATTCCATCAACGTATTAAAATTCAAAATATTTTGTTCCACTCCATTATTCACCCAACCAAATTCCCATTAGTAGATGAGAACATGCCACATTACTAGTAGGTATCTTCACATTATATTTAAAAAATAATTATTATTTTTGCATCTACTGCATATTGGATAAAAATCAGTGCTTTGGAAAGACCTTCACACTTTGCAAGCTGTGGCATATTTGCAAGGTCTGCTTACTGCAAAGCTGTGACATTTGAAGTCATACATTTTGTTCTTTATGTTGGACCTCTTGTTCAGAACTGTCTTACTGTTGTAGTGAGAACAACGGAGTATGTTTGTGCTTGTACTTTCTTTCTATGGTGGAAAATGACAGGCTTGGAAAATGGTCTTTGCTTGCCATTTACAGATGTACAAAGAAGGTGTAAGATGAACTCTGAACTGGAAACATTTTGCACCTATCCTGCAGAGAAGGTAATTTCTATACAATGTTTAAGTCCATAGAGAATCAGGCTGGATGTTTATTAAATACACTAGAGAGTGCCTCTTCTATATGTTTCCAAGGGGCAGGGGAAGGAGAATTGGTGTGAAAGTGAATTCATCCAGGTGTGAATTTTTCAATAATCTTTCACCTTTATCCATTGGGATGTTTGTATTAGGAGTGGTCTTAGTCTCCTTTGTCATTAAAAAGGTGAAACTTTGTTTCTGAGTTAATAAAAGCCTTAACATTAATACTATAAGGGACAAAATGGCAGAGTAGGCAGTAAACTGCTTCAGATGTGCAGAACATCCCACATAGGTAAACCTAGGATTAATGGGAGTCAGAGCTCAATTAGCCTGCTTATGCTTGCATCTGGTGGGTGGGAAAGGCCTAATTAATGAGCAAACCTTGCTAAAGAAGCACTGATTACTGTTATAAACAAGGGAAGTCTGGAGTAGATGGGGGCTGCAGGGAGAGAGGGAAAAAACTCTACAGCAACTGTCCTGATAGCAGGGAGTGAAGAGACCTGTAAGGAACAGAAAGAATCTTACAAGGAGAGGAGGGATGATGAGAGAATCCAGGTAAACTTGATAGAAAGAAGTCCAGGGAGGTGGTAGAAAGGACTAAGGGGAGAGAACCTTGACTGCCTGCCCTAGAATTCCTAGACATTTCAGAACCCAGCCTAGATGGCAGGCCAAAGTTTCAATACCAGTCAGTGGTTAAATGGCATGATGCCCCTAAGAAGGTGAGAAGCCCCGAGAAAAATGAATGAATCATTAGGCACAGACCTGAGGGAAGTGGTCCAAATAAAGGGGACAGACACTTCGATTTTTTTGCAGGACCCCCTGATATCCCGAAAAGGATGGGGACTAAAGCCTAAGCTCTCAAGATGGCCGAGTCATGAGAAGAAATGGACCACTATGAGATTGAAGTAGCTGTTGTCAGCGAGCACCAGAAAGAAGAGAGCCTGCTATGCAACACCAAGGTGCAAGGGGGTGCTCTAGCCATGAGTCCACTTTTTTATACATGATTTAACACTGTCTTAACATCTCACCCATTACAAAGATAGCTTCCCCAATTATCACCCCAATGTCATTACCTCACAGAAACTTCCCCTATTATCACACCTATGTCATTACCTCACAGACACTAACCTGCCCCTTTCACCCCCACTCTGTTCTAAAATTTGATTTGTCAATTTCACATGCGTTCATTTATTTGATTGTATCACTTTGGTATATATGGTTGTGTCGATTTTCTTCCGCATATTGATCTGAGGAAATGGGTCTGGCCCACGAAAGCTCATCACCTAATAAACCATCTTGTTAGCCTTTAAAGTGCTACATAGATCTGTATTTTGTTTCAGCTAGACCAGACTAACACGGCTGCATCTCTATCACTATTTCACATATTAAGTTTGCTATATTCCAGTGTTTAATTTAATCCCCACATGAGGCAACATTTTCTTTAAATGGTTCTGACTGACACACCCTTTTGTCTAAGTTCTGCTCTCTTGAGAAGTACAACCACAGGGCTATTTGTGTTACCCTCTCTCCTAGTAAACCAAATGTGTAAAAATGAGAAGATCCCATAATAGTTATACTAGTGCTGATTCATGGTTGATGTGCCTGTAAAGTCAAAGGCTGACTGACCAATGTGATACCATCACTCATTCCAGCATCACAACAGATGTATTGTCATATGTTCAATAGTACAGTAATGGCTATGCTAATTGTAGCCACCATAATTCTAGACACTTCCCTATTGCTCTTCATTTTGTTCTTGGGGTTCTCCCAGGTTATGGGGAGTCAGTCTTTTCTTTTCTTTTCTTTTCTTTTCTTTTCTTTTCTTTTCTTTTCTTTTCTTTTCTTTTTGAATTTGCACCGTATCTGCAAGTTTACAACAAATATGCCCTCCACACACAGACACACAATAAAAGACTGAATTTAAAAGCCTGTTCTGGATTCATTCTGAGAAATATTCAGTGAATTTACCGTGGTTAATAAAAGACCAAAACAGCACCATTAATTTTGCAATAAAAGTGTCTCTTTTAGGGAAATATGAAACATTTTTTTTCCTGTTCAGATCATACTAAGGTATGATTTAGTATACTCTGTTAGGAGGTCATGACCCTGGCCTTAGCATAATATAGACTGTTGGAAATTCCATTGCTCACTGAGGTATATGTTTTAAGAATCTATGACATTTACTGTCATGTTGAATTCATGAAACCATATTAGTGGGGCTGCGTTCTACCATGGCAAAACACTGCCAGTTGATACAATTTCAGACTTGCTAGCCTGTCTCATGATGGGGCATTTCAATGGTATTTAAGTTGATTGAATGAACGCAGTTGAAAAACATGCCCTTTTTGCTCATCAAGACAGAGCCTTAGTGTGACAGCTCCATGGCGTACATGTGCATTTTATAAAGGGTGAAATTATATTCATAAAGGTTAATAAAGAAAACCAACTTATAAAGCAATTGGCAATTGACCAGCTTATAAAGTGATAGGAAATTTGGAATATTCCTAGATAGTTATAACCTCACCTATTCCATTTAAAAAGATGAAAACCTTAACATAAATATAATCACCTTCTGGAGCCATCACTCAGTAACCTATTGTGAGCTGTTTGGGATCTTTACTGGAGATTAAACCTGATTATGCTAATGGAGTCTCATGTTGATACAGGTGTCTGAGGATTCAGCAAACTATTATCCGAGGGGTAGCCATGAATCTGACGAAGTGGGACTTTGCCCACAAAAGCGTATGCTCCACTAAATCTGTTAGTCTATAAGGTGCCACGGGACTTCTCTTTTTTAAGCAAACTATTAGTAAACCCTTATATGTGAGGTGAGACCGAGGGAAGAACCACAAACTTGGTTACATGTTGATCAGACAAAATTGTCCATGACCATTGCCAGGTTCTGTCTCCTTGTTTTGTTTGGTTAGTGTTTTTTACATAAGGTGTTACTGCTCCTTTCTTCAAAGCAGTTAATGGCAAGATGACAAATATGCCACCATCTTGTTCTCTCATCGACTTTTGTCCCTGGTGCTGGGGGGTTCACCTGGCATGCTTTCAAATTTGACTTTATATAGTTTGTAATGACCATGAAAATGGATGCTTTGCTATAGCTGACTATAAAATATGGCCTTGGTATTTCTTGAGTCAGCCATTCAAACAAGATGCCCATATCAATGCAACTGAGCTTTTATGAGCATGCTTTGAATGCCAGGCATTCAGCAACAATTATGGATTTAAATATAAGGAGTCTTGTCCCATCATTTGACCCTGCAAAGAGACCCAAGATAGCACATGTAGAATTGATCAAGTTTCTTAATGTGGCAACCATATGTTGTCCATGACTCACAACCATATAGAAGCATTGTAAGCATGACTATCAAGTAGCCGTTTAGCTTTGTGCTTATTTTTGACACCCCTACAAGTCTCACAGGCTATATGAAAGCATTCCACAGGGTTTGGCTATGCTATAGGTAATCTTATCAGTCATTGTGGCATTTTGTGACTGCACTCTCTAGATAGCAAAACTTCTCCATAGACTTCAGAGAAATGTTATTGATATTAGTAATTGGACAAACATGCACAGATCATGGTGCAGGTTGACAGAGGTACAGATTTATAATAGGAAAGGAAGCATGGTGATATTAGAGAAGATTGTTCCCAGAGAGGAAGAAATAAAATGTAGCTAAAAATTAGTTGTACTGTACTTATATTTGTGTATCTTAAATATCTCTGTTACTTAGTTGGTAAACACAGAAAATACTATGTTTATAAATAAAGGAGTCATATTTCCAAACTCTTGCTTTGTGACATAATAGAAGCCTAATGACTTTTTAATAGTCTCTAATAAAAATATTGATCTTTAAGCTAACACTTAACAGTACCCTAAATAACTAGTCATTATAAACATATGACTGCAAGTATTCAGTGCCTTTCCAAAATGGATGTATCACATAACTGCATATGAAGTTCAATCTTTTGGAAATATGAGTTGCATGAATTTTAGCAGTGCCATTGTTACTAATTTTAATGGTAGCAGTGTGGCAAAGGATATGCCTACACAGCAAAGAAAAACACACATCTGGCCCATGCCAGCTGACCCAGGCTTGGCCTGTGGGGCTGATTCACTGTTGTGTGGACTTCCAGAACTGGGCTGGCTTTTCCATTTTACTTTTACATTCTAATGCACTAGGAGGAAATATCAGGCAAGTTGTATCTTAGTGTGTGATGGCTCTAATCAGCCTTGGTATTTTGCCTTGGAACAAGACAAACGTGACCCACCCCTAAAAATTAGAAAATAATATCAATTTTTTAAAATGGAGACTGTTCTGGGAAACTTAAATTACAAATCCCAAGAGTTCTGAAATGAAGAATAAGAAAATTGCTTTCTCCCTTTGGGCATGACCTTTCACTTTGAATGGATTCCACAGAACAAAAAGAAGAATCATCTTTTATTTAAACAGGAAGCAACTGGAGGCAGTTTGGGACTCAGGGGAATATTTAAACACACACTGAGCGAGAAATTGAAAGCATGAGGATTTCAAGGACAGAACTTCAGTGATCTTTGCCTTTAATGCGATACCTAGCCCTTCTGACACAGTGAGCAAAAAATAGCATTTATCCTTTCATCAACACATAGCATTAGTAATGAAGCTGTCTGTGGAAAAGGCTGAAAATAGAGACAGTGCAGCTCTTCTGGCTTTCTGTAAGAACTGAACACTGCCAGTGGGTTCCATTAAAAGTTACATTAGGGTAATTTAATTCCCCTAGACTGTTCCATTCACAACTCCTCCTTTCTGCCACCCCTACAGTTTGTTGAATCAATAGCCATTAGAGTGAATCAGACCCAACTGTGGGTATATGCATTTGCAAAACTGACTCACGGCAGTCAATGCAGATGGCTACATAAGGAAAAGGAAGTCAGGTTTGGATTCTAAGCAGAGCTGGGCAAGATGCTCATAGCAAAACCAGAACAAGTAAGTACCACCTTTAGGATATACCCTGCACATCTGCCAAAAGAGACACAGCCTGTGAACCAAAGACTTGATGCTGCTCCTGTTGAAAACAAGTTTTATACCGGTTTTAATGAGAGTAGGAGCAAACCCCCAAAATACTTTGTTTCACAGAAATCTAAGGCTGATCTGGTGTTACAGGAAACGGAGGCAGCTTTTTGTTTCTTTCTGCTCACTGTTTTTTCCCCATCCATGCTACGATGGGGATCTGCATTATATGTGCAGTTTAATCTCTCTCAATGCTCATTTTATTTCAATTGCTCAGGACCCCTTCACTCCAACCCACCCATTTACCAACTCAGTAGCATTTGGGGCAGCTGGGTCTGAGTATCTGTTTTTTCCCCTACCTCATTCAGATGAGCAAAGAGTGTGTGGTAAAGGATGGAGCTTTGGTTAAACCAGAAAGGGTGCATCTACACAGCAGTTATGTCAAAATAACTGACATTTCGAAATAACAATGTGAGCGTCTACACAGCAATTCCATTATTTTGAAATAAATATGAAATAAGGGGTGGCTTATCCTCACTTCCGTAAGCCTCATTCCACAAGGAATAATGCCTATTCTGAAATAGCTATTTCAAATTAGATGGAGTGTGGACGCTCCACTGCTGCTATTTCGAAATAGCTCCTCCCCAGGGCCATTCAGACGAATTACTCCGGAGTGCCTCCTGGGACGCTAAATCAAGGTAGCACATCCACATTAGGGACTGATTTTGAGGCTTCCCTTTAGTGTACATGTGCTATTTCAAAATAAACTATTTTGGAATATTTCTTTTGGAATATATTATTTCAAAATAAGTGTGCAGTGTAAACGTACCCAAACTGACACATGAGTGAGCAAGGAGTAGTCTGAAAGTGGTCAGAGTCAGTGATAGATTACCTGCCTTGGGGAGCAGGGACAGAATAGTGACTCTAGGCCTAGAAGGTACAGGTATGTACCATCTCTTATACGAAGCTCCGCCTAAAGGCACAGCTAGCATAAGAAATCTATGAGCTAAATGACACTGCCTAAAACTAATCCTGGATTAATTGAAATGTTGGGTACTTTATTCCCGTTTTCATAACCAGGAAACAA